TGGGAAAAGAACCTAGGGGTTCTGTTAAGTGAGGCCACATTATGTGCTGCCAAGGGTTAATGGAAAAACGTAGTGTGACTGGAACCGAATAAAATCAGTCAATCAGTAAAATAAGAAACGAATCTCAGGGACGATGAGGGAGATTCGGATACGAGGGCCAAATCAGATCAGAAATTCAGACACATCGAAAGGGAGATGGGGCAAGGTAAACAAACAGGTGTGATAATGCACCGCCTCTAGAGAAGTCGGATAGAAACAATTAGGAAACTGTGATAACAAGTGAGAGGGATATGAGGATAAGTGATAGGCAGACGTATAATAGGTGATAACAGAAAGCTAGTCAAAAGAATGAATTTCATCTGCCTTATTGTAACTTGGCGTTAAGAAGGGCAGGGCTCATTGACAATGCTAAGATGCCAGCTGAATTTATGGGAATGTATCACGTCCATGGCTCGACGCTGGAAATTATCATAACTACTATAGCAGAAGACTTTGGACAAGATGTCCTACTAGGTCGGCCTGACAATACGAGCAATTTGCGAAAACGAAAGTAAACCACTTCTATATAGCGAAAAAAGACTGCGACCAAAACAGAGGCCACAATATCTTGGTGTTCATATTTATGAATTGCCCATCTGCTGAAAACAGGAGTGAATAGAAAAATATAGGTTAAATATAAATGTTAGAATGAACTAATTGAAAATAGACAAACTTGAAGCAAGTTGGAAGTCTTGGGATTCCATTGCTCTTCTGGTCGGCCGTGCCATGTATTGAGCACCGATAAGCATACTTTGCCTTCGTTGTAGAGATTAGGGTTGAATCGAACAGAATGACCACCGGTGGTGCATAAATGGAAAATGGGTGGTTTTTCTGGGTATTCTGCATCAATGAAGATGTCGAAGATGAAGCAACCGTTAGAGTAAGGCGTTCCAGAAGGACCAATAATTAAAGCCTAAAGAGAAAACATTAGTATGGGGATGAAAAAATGATTCAAATCAATCAAGAAGGGGTAAAAAAGAGATACTATTAATGACACCTTTGTACCCTGGTGTGCGGCCTGATTGAATAAAAATCATCACTAATCCACTAGGCTAGAAGATTTGTTGATGAGGAAAAGCTGGGTTGAAGCCACGACTAATTCAAGCATTATCAAGCATTATTACCAATTTCCTATCGTTATAGAGGTATGCTAGTCTATAACAGACTTATGATTTGATTATTATCGAATCTGTCCACGATAACTTGTAGATAATGTTTGATTTCTGTAAGTAATTTTACTCCCAACTCGACTAGTGCAGGATTGTTGTAGAGGAAATCTGGAAGAAACTTGACGCTAAGTGGAAGTTGGTTAAACAACACTCAAATAGAATAGAGCCAAATTCCAATGGATGAGTCGAGTTTTTCATAAAGTGATACACTAAATGAAAATCATAGTTCAAATCTGCCATCCATCAACCCTTTTATTGAAGAGAATAAGGCAAAAAT